TGAAATAAAATTGAAATAAAATTGAAATAAAATTGAAATAAAATTGAAATAAAATTGAAATAAAATTGAAATAAAATTGAAATAAAATTGAAATAAAATTGAAATAAAATTGAAATAAAATTGAAATAAAATTGAAATAAAATTGAAATAAAATTGAAATAAAATTGAAATAAAATTGAAATAAAATTGAAATAAAATTGAAATAAAATTGAAATAAAATTGAAATAAAATTGAAATAAAATTGAAATAAAATTGAAATAAAATTGAAATAAAATTGAAATAAAATTGAAATAAAATTGAAATAAAATTGAAATAAAATTGAAATAAAATTGAAATAAAATTGAAATAAAATTGAAATAAAATTGAAATAAAATTGAAATAAAATTGAAATAAAATTGAAATAAAATTGAAATAAAATTGAAATAAAATTGAAATAAAATTGAAATAAAATTGAAATAAAATTGAAATAAAATTGAAATAAAATTGAAATAAAATTGAAATAAAATTGAAATAAAATTGAAATAAAATTGAAATAAAATTGAAATAAAATTGAAATAAAATTGAAATAAAATTGAAATAAAATTGAAATAAAATTGAAATAAAATTGAAATAAAATTGAAATAAAATTGAAATAAAATTGAAATAAAATTGAAATAAAATTGAAATAAAATTGAAATAAAATTGAAATAAAATTGAAATAAAATTGAAATAAAATTGAAATAAAATTGAAATAAAATTGAAATAAAATTGAAATAAAATTGAAATAAAATTGAAATAAAATTGAAATAAAATTGAAATAAAATTGAAATACAATTGAAATAAAATTGAAATAAAATTGGAATAAAATGAAATAAAATTGAAATAGAATTGAAATAAAATTAAAATAAAATAAAATAAAACAAAATAAATACAAAGAAAAATAATACAAAAAATCAATATAAATATAGATATTTCGATGTCTCAATATTTCTCCAGATACGCACAAAGAATGTAGAAATGGAACAGTGAGATTTGATGATTAACGCTTTTGTCTTACACATTCAAAGATATGTCAGTATTGCATCATCCAGATAATACTATTCAGCCGTTCTTTTTAAAATCTCTCAGTATTGAATTAAAACAGCGATATATTAACACAAATAACCTTGCTGTAAATATCACAACATTCGTAAAAAAATCAGCAAAAATGTCCTATTATTGCTTTTATAAACTAATACAAAACAGCTGCTTATGGTGTTCCGTACATCTAGCGTTAACACATGAACGACGAGACTCGGATCCATTTGGACCCAGAACGCGAATACTGCCATTTTTGACTTTCTAGTTTCCGACAATCAATTAAAATTCTCAACAGAGTCGTCAAGCTTTCTATAAAATCTAAGGTGTCCACACACACACGAAAAGCACGTCAGAAAATACGTCGAAAAAAATTGCCAAATAAAATTACAAACGATCCCAGGCATATCGAGTTTCATTTTTGTCGAGATGGCCCGCCCCGTTCGAGGGTCGAAAGAGATTTGTCGCGGTCGCGCGCGATCAGCAGAACCCGATCGGGAGATTAGCAGAATCCGATCGTAAGATTAGCGGAACCCGATCGAAAGATTAGCAGAACCCGATCGTAAGATTAGCATACCGTGGAATGTTCCCTGTGATTCGCGAAGACGATGCGTTCGACGGAGGACGGTAAAGAGTATATACAATCGGTGTCTCGACAGGGCCAGATGCGAGGAGGCAGGGACACGGTGTTGTCCAGGGAGCAGTGAAAGAAAAACGGTAGTGGCCGAGTGGTTCGTAATGAGGTAACAGTGCGACGGAGGATCGAAGCAGTACCCAGTCGACGAAGATGTTGTGCTTGAAGAAACGGAGGACCTACAGCTTCACGCAGGGCGTCTGCGCGGAGCTGCCCAGGCGAGCCAGCAAGGATAATCATCGCTACGAGGGGTCCTTGGACATGGCGATTACGACACTGCCGCGTAAGAACAGGTGAGTCACCTTTCCTGTACGATTCGATCGTTTGCCAAAGCTACTTTAATCCGCAACAAGGCCCGAAGGCGCCGCTCGAGACGACGACGTCTCTCTTTCGTGCTAATTACGACTTTCGCGCTGACCACTTAACGCATTACGGATCGACAGGTTACGAAAATACTCGGTGTTTTTTGTTCTAGAGCTCGTGGCCGACCAACAGTATTTTTATTGTTGTCGTTTAAAACGGAGCAGTGTGAAACATACCTGGCCGCTGGGTACAACCAGAGTTGGCCATTATTCGGATTTTTTGGTCTAAAATAGATATTTGTCTAAGATAATTATATGAATTGAATCATTTTAGTTGAATGTTTTATTCGAACAATTCGTTTGTTTTATTCGTCATAAATCATTCTTTCTATTTATACGAGTAGTTCTTTATGAGAATAATTCGGAAAGTTCTTTATTCGAATAACTCTTTATTCGAATAATTCTCTACTTGAATAATTCTTTATTCGTATAAACTTCTTTATTCGAATACTTCTTTAATCGAATATTTCTTTATTCGAATACTTCTTTATTCGAATACTTCTTTGTTCGAATAATAATTCTTTATTCGAATACTTTTTTATTGGAATAATAATGCTTTATTCGAAAAATTCTTTACTCAAATAATTCGTTA